CAAATCCTGGCTATGCCACTGCTTCTCATAGTTGTATTTGATGCTAAAAGGTTAAGTTGGAATATGTAGATGGTGGGTTGATTTTAGGTGCAGTAAGTCATATAATCTTTCCATACTCTTAACGGAGAACATAATCATTCAACTAATTAATATGCACGCACATAGCTTTCTGATTACCATGCTCACGATGTATTTGTTCCTAAACCTTTATCTGGATTGTGTATGTAGCATATCATGTTGTATACATATTTTAGAATATAAAACTATAATCCATCAGCTCTCAACTTTCATCAAAACTTCGAAGTTTTAGTGCAGCGGCAGGGAATTTAGAACATTGTGACTCATATTTATGTGTATATATACTGCAGTTTCACCCATCCATATTCCATTTTCTTAAAATTTGTTGTGTGATGGTGTTTTTGCATATCATATATGTGTCCATTTTTGTGTTCATGCTTCACAGAAGAGCATGTAACAAAGGGATCTTCGGACAAGCCACAACCTCCTACCAATGCTTCCAAACTGTCACTGGTACTTAATTATTCCTTTTCTATTTTTGTGGTCTAGCCGTATATCATACCTTTTTTTTCAGTTTACTGAAACTGATAAAATTGTTATCTGTATTTTGAAATCTCAATGGTAAAGCTTAATAAACAATGATCAAGACAATAGCAAACAATATAAACTTCCAATGAAATTTCCCATATAATATATAACAGACCATTACCCATATTTAGATGAGAAACAGTGCATGTTTCATTTTTTATATTTTATATCGGGCCATATTGTTGCAACTATAAGGTAAATGACTTTATCATCCATAATTCAAGGCACAATTCCATCTGATATGTGCTTATGGTGATTGGTCGAACCATTCCAATTCTGACGGTTTCTTTTAGAGAGGGGCATCATTATTGATCATTGGTCTACATAAGATATTTTTAATGCACTCCCATAAGCATAGATGTGCTTTTCTTTTTAAAGTTTAATTGTGCTATAATCAATTCACAGGTTCATGTTATACTGTTAATTTATTTGATATTTTTCTTCCTTTGCTGCTATTGCTATGGCTATATACAAGCCATGCAAAACATGCAAGCTCCAACTAGCACTCATAGAGAAGTATACACATGAAGAGTAATAAAAGGTTTTTGAAGTTTAATTTTACTATCCCTTGTCCAACATCATATCTACGTTGCCAACTGACACCCTAATTTGTGTTCATTGCAAACATAGACTGAAACACATCTAGGGAGAACGAATTCTGGTTCACGACTTGCACTCAAGTTCATTGATCCACATGCTTTCATGGCTAGCAAAGATTTCACTTCCCCTATGAATTACAGCATTTGGTCTTGGAGCTCCAAATTTGGAGAATCTTGGCTGTCTTTTTAGGGTCGTACCTTGAAAATAAATGATAATTGAATGATGCGCAATACTAGGGGTTTTTAACCAAACTGATATGAGCATCCTGCTTTGGAATTATAGCTCTCATAATAATTCCACCTATTATCTATGTAGGACAGAAACTTTATCCAAATATGTCAAATTTACCAGCCTTCTCACGTTTTATAAGAAGATGCTCTGTAAATTCAGGTGTCTTTTTCAGCCATTTTGTCTTGTAATATCATTTAACATTCAGGGCATCATAATGTTGGCTTGAATTACTAACAATGGACAAGTTTTGCTTGTATAGATATAATAGTGATGTACTTATTAGTGATTTTGGGTTGAATATCTTTAGCTACATCTGCAAAAGTTTGGCTAAGTGGCATTTTCTGTGAACATTCATACTATTTTCATCTCAAGCTGTGAGACCGGAATTATAATATATGGATGTGGAACTTGGATGAACAGTAAAATAATTATCAACGGATTCTCGAGTGGTTTCCATTTGCATCTTCTAGACTAGTTTCTCTGGTACATCGGCAAAGGTCCAGGGCGAATATGGCAAGTGCAGATTCATTTACGAAGAGATATATGTAGAGGCTACATCTTTCTTCTAGTTGGGTGCACAGGTTTTCATATTCATGAACTCAATAAACGAAAAAGATATGGTGAGTTTGAATTTATACCTTCACACTGAAGTTTCCAGGGCTATGTACTAAAAGCTTCAGTGGGGTTTATAAGTTGGAGAGGGGATGCCTTGATGAGTGAGAATGAAGGAGACCAGATCGAGAAAATTATAGAAGTATATCAAATAAGGTTGCTCAGCGCAGTAGTTAAGGCCTGCAGTTTGATTCGGTAAGGGGGAAAAACCATTTAGCTTCTCAAGGTACTTTTTTGGGTTAATTGCACATAGACTCCGTAGTATTGCTATCTCGAACTTACTCTCAATGTAGTTTTATTTTGGCAGAGAGACCCTGAATAAATTTTGAAAAAGATAATGAAAATATTTCATAATTTTATAAATATTTCATGATTTCAAACTAACAACTGCCATTCGAATGCCCAAAAATCATTACAACGATACCATCTTTTTCAGAGCCTTGGAAGGTCTCCATAATATTTTAACATCAAAAGAAAAGTAGATTTAGGCTTCTTCTATTATTTTATGCTACCCATCACCTCCTCTAATTACTTATTGCAAATAATTTCTTTACATTTAGCCGTACATAATTTTGTGCTTCCAACTACTTATCTAGACCATTTTATTAAACTACATGCTCAAATGTCTACTCAGGAGATGATATAAATATATTAAAATAAGATTAACCAGATATTCAGATCCTATCCAAATTAATCTATCTGGATTTACATAATATTCAATTACATGTGTATAGTATGACTAATTTATGTCTCTACATAACATATTTGTTATATTTACTACATGGTATGCTTAAAATGTAATACATTTTTATAAGGACTAGAAGTGAAGAACCAAATGTTCGTGGTGTTTTCATGTAAAATACCCATAATTAGTGTATACATTGTTCATATTTAGTTCCATACCATGTAGTCCCCTAGTCAAATATGGATTCATGCACGTTGACTTGTGGATAATGGTTGCATAAGGAAAAGCTTGCAATATAAGAAAGTAAACTAAATGGAGAACTAATCCATGGCTAAATATCAAACCCCACCCCACCCGCCAAAACACCCGTTGACACACACTTTGGACGATTTTTCAGATCCCCATAACTTTAGAAAACCTCTTAAGTTTAGGAGTTACTTAAGATTTTATCAGAAAATCCCCCTAAAAGTGTGAGCAAAAATTTTCATTGAAAAAAGTCCCCTTGTGTAATTTTACCCACTCATGTGAAAAGTTGTAGTTAATGTTGTTAGTGTTTTTTTTAATCTTAAAGTTAAAGGGGTTTTTCTTATAACCCCTAAACTTAAGGGTTTTCTATTTTATATTTTAAAAGTTATGGGGGGTTTATCTGATAATCGTCCACATGTTTTTTGTGGTGGTGGTGTGCTGTGTGTGGGGGGGGGGTGGGGCGGTTCGCCTGTTCTAATATTTAGCTTTAATTATTTGTTCCAGGACCTTTTTATTATCTGTAATAGAAAAATTCTTGTAAATACTCTATTTTATTTTTTTCTTTTCTTTTGTTTGTTTGCATCAATATTTTCTCTTTATTTCTAGTGAAAGTTAGAAATATATTTTACAGCATATTTAAACATTGTTTCTGCAATTCCGAAAATGCAAAAAAAAAGGGTAGCCCAGTGCATGAGCCTCCCACCATTGTGGGTTTTGGGGAGTGTCAAATGTACGCAGCCTTACCCTGCATGCAAAGAGGCTGTTTCTATGATTTGAACTCATGACCTCCAGGTCACAAGGCAACAACCTTACCATTGCGCCAAGGATCATATGTTTAAATTAGTCAACAAGTAAATTAAGAAAATTTCCTTCAATTTCCGCATGATCTTGGTTTGATTTAGTATATATGTTTAATTTTGGCTATAAGTACTATCTACTGAGAAATTTCTTTTTTTAAATGAAAGTTTACAATTATTAGTTCCATCTCATATTTATACCTTTCTTCTGTCCTCCAGAAATGCAACAACACATATTTGATTTATGAATCATTTAATGTGTAATTCGAGAAGTTTATTTGTGTTGTGATGTGATTGAAGGATGTAGCAACGGATTATACTGAGAAGATTGAAGGCTCTGGAGAAAATTGAAAACTTTGAGATGAATGTAATGATCATTACTTTTTTCTTAGGAAACATTTATGATCTTTCTATTTGTTGTTTCTAAATAAAGAAAGTTTGATTTTGATCATTAATTGAATCTTTATCAATAAACTCTCTATTTTATTGTTGAATTAAGTGCTTTTTTTTTACAGAAAATGCATTATTATGTGTTAAAATTTGAATTACTTCTTACTTTTTTCCCCAATAAAATTTTAATAATTTGGACAAATGGAAGGACCGTCGCTAAAATAGTGTGTTGGGATGTAAATCCTATCGGGACCTCCCTGTAGGAGTGGGGTGGTTTGCGCCAGGACCGTAGCCAGTAATTGTGGGCAATTAAGCACTAGTAGAAAAACTGTAAAACCCCGAAAATTTGAATATAGAGTGATAAATAATTATAAATATGTTATATGATGAAAATAATGTATTTTGATGTTTGAGTATGATAGGAATTGATTTGAAATCAATTTAATGTATATTTGTGAATATATGAGTGTAAATACACAAAACATGCACAAAGGCAAATAGTGATAATCTGAGAATTTTGACCAGTTGAGAGTTTTTATGTTTTGCATACTGATTCAGTTAGAATCTGGAAGAGTGTATAAGACCAAAGTTGTAGGTCTCTTCAATAGCTTTCCAACGAATCTTAAATCACCTCATTCCGAGATCGTATGAGAAAGTTACAACCTTTTTACCGAACCCCAGTCTGAGCATGGCCCAGAACTCTGAGCAGTCGACCGCCGTGGTCGCTGCGGTCGACCGCTCAGCGTACAGACGCCAGTTCATGGCGGAGCTTTGCTGTTCAGATTGAAGGAGGATCTTTCTCACTCGTTTTTGGGTGTTCATCAACCCCCTCAGGCGAGTAACATCTCGCCCAATCTCTCACCCTTGTTTTTATGAGTTTTTCTAACGATTTTAATGAGTTTTCTTGAGCCTAAATCACTATTTTGCGTACTTAGATAGATCCTTATGATATGTGATGTGGAAACTAAGTATTTCAGTTTTCAAATACCCACCAACGATTTTTGGTTAAAGAGATCTAACTGAAAATGTTTTATTAAGAGTTAAATTTCTGATTTTTATTGTTTTATAAAGTTTAAAACACGGGTATACATGTTCACGATTTTTGGTGATGATTTTTACATGCTAAATGTTGTTATATGATGATTCATATGTATTAGATTATGTGATATATCATTTGGAAGCAGAGATGTATTGTTTGGATCAATTTTCGAAGTAGAGAAAAACCTAAATTTAGGCATCTGCCAATCTCGCGGTCGACCGCAACGCTATGTGCGGTCGACCGATGGGCGTTCTGTCGAGCAGAACATCTCTGCTCATTTTGCGGTCGACCGAAGTGGCCTCTGCGGTCGACCGCGATACTGTTTGTGCAGGAGTATATTTTGTTGTGTATATTGTGTGTACGAATGGTTTACCTCGATTTTTCTGGCATTAAATCTACAATATGGAACACTTGTCTATACATGTGAGTTGACACTTTTGACACAAGTTTAGACCCGCACATCGAGACACGTGCGAGTTTAGGATATGTATATCTTTCCACATATACCTTTGACAATTGCACCTCTTTACTTATAGTCCATGTGTTGGGCATACATTACAATTGATCCATGTGTTGGATACTTATCATTTCGGTCCATGTGCTGGACACGTATTTTTCTTCAGTCCTCGTGTTGGACATGTATTACTTTTTAGTTCTCGTGTTGGACGCTCATTGCATTCAGTCCTCGTGTTGGATATTCATTTTACTTAGTCCTCGTGTTGGACATGCATTGTTATTTAATCCTCGTGCTGGATATGCATTACCATCCGGTCCATGCGTTGGACAACGGTCACATCCGGTCCATGCGTTAGACAACGATTATTGGACATCGGTCACATCCGGTCCATGCGTTGGACAACGGTTATATTCAGTCCACGAGTTGGACGTTCACTTGCATATTAGACCACGCGCTGGACATTTGTTAAGCTATAAGTATGACGCTTATCTAAATCAGGACATAACATGATTTCATGAGATTTGGACATGATAGCTACCTAGACTGGACACGACACTTATGTGATATCGACCCTTGACACTTATATAGTTTCGGCGTGACTTTTGATTAAGTATTGAGATGGGCTGTTTCTTTTAGTTTATTATTCATGTAGTAGACTTCGGGTTTGGTAATTAGGGATTTACAATTTGAGATAAAAGGTATATACATGAGGGTTTCCTTGTTTGGATTATTTCGCTCGACGTACCTATGCTCGTGTTGTAATTTCCTAAATACTAAAACCCATTATTTGCTAGGAGTAATGATTTTTGACTATTATGTAATAACTATATTTTCTGTATACAACGAGCCCTTTCCCTTGGGGTTGGTTGTGATGTTGCTCGCTAGCGCTTTGACGCTCGTTGTCCCTCCCCCTTTCAGGTAACGAGCCAGGAGCCCGGAGAGTCGCAGGTTGATGGCGACACACTTTAGTGTTCAGCTGACTATTTTTTAGATATGTTTTATTTTGGAGCATTTACTTCAGACATTTATTTGTATTCCAGTATATTAGATGACGAGATATTAATTTGATCTCTATTACTTCATCAGTTGATTCTCGTATAACCTTTTACTTGCTTTGTACTACACCTGTTGTTGATTCCACTAGAGAGATAGTGATTGTGATGGTGAAACATGTTATTGCACGGTGTGGTGCATGGCAGGTTTGACATTCTTGGTTTCACCTTGGACTGCAGCCTTGTGTGAACCCAGGGGTGTCACAGTTGGTATCAGAGCTCTAGTTCCAGTATCCTTAGGATCATCCTGTGTCGAGTCGTGGAGCTAGGATAGAGTTTATTAGGATTCATGTATAGAGTCCGTAAGGATTTCCTAGTATGAGTGAGGACGATATCTGCGTATGTCTCAAAATTTGAGAATTTTTTTTATGACAACTATTTTTATGTTGATTGAAGGTATTTGCGTGAATACTATGTGTTATGAATTCGTATTGTGATACGTTATGTATATATATATATATATATATTTATTATCTCGCTTACTGTTATAATTAAGCTCTCCTTTTGATATTATAAATATCAAAACGAGGATGTGGTCGAGGTAAAACTCGCACCTGGAGAACTGGGCATGCAGAGCCGAGCCGCAGCAGGCTCCACAGTATTTGATCGACTTCATGGCACCGTTAGCAATAAGATCTTACAACACTCGAGGAGCAAGAAGTGTATCTGTTTCCGTCAGCAGTACCAAGCAGAAGTTAGATGTATTCAGCACTGAGGGCATCGCTGGAGGATAGCAACAACATCCAGATTTTTGATGGGGTAGCAATTATCACCTATTCGGGAGAATTTTAGTCACCACAAGTAGTTAGAGCTAGTCTAAGTGAAGCAGGGAGATATACCCGTAGTGAAGGAAGAAATTAAAACCAGAATGGTGAATATGACAATGGTAAGAGAACTATTGTGAAAACTAGAGAATTATAGCAGCGAGAGAATGACTTTAACCCAGCAACAAAGACAGTATAAGAAAGGAGCACAATATGATACGAGAGCGCCAAAGTAGTACAGAATTTAGAGTACATGTTACAATCACAACAAGATCGAACAAAGAGCGAAAGAATTGTCGCAGTACACCAACAGGGAGCCAGCAAGATAGAGGTCATGGACGACAGTCTCAGAGTCGTAATTTTAGCCAGCAATGGGGAAAGAGAGGCACTACTTTTAATCCGAGGATTTAGGGTCAGCAGGCTGTATTTGCATCATCCAGGAGATTTGCATTATCTAGCAAAATATTTAGCAGTACCGCATGATCAGGGTTCGAACGGAGCTTTATTCTTGTTTTTCTTTTCAGCTCGGATCTAATTTGATTTAGAAAATTCGCTCATCTTTCATACCTCCATTGGTAGGCTTCATCTTGTAGCACATTCTTTAGATATTCTGTTGTCAGTATCTACTCCTCTAGGAGAGGTGTCCACTCTATCTACCGGAAATATGTCATCAGACTAGACGAGTCAGAGTTTGTTGTCGATTTGATAGCGTTGAATATGTCCGGGTTCGATGTTATCCTTGGTATGATTTGGTTATCCTCCTACCAGGCTAGTATTGACTGCTTTGCGAAGACAGTTAATTTGCGAGCGTCCGAGATGATTGTAGCAACCTCTTAGGGCAACCGTTTTGCGGAGTCATTTCTGGCATATATCGAGGAGGTGCTGTGACGGGATCTGAGTATTGATTTATTAGAGACTAGAGTTGTCTCAGAGTATCAGGATGTCTTTCAGGATATACCTGGGTTACCTCCTGTGTGAGAGGTTGAGTTGTGTATTGAGTTGCAGCCGGGCACAGTCCTGATATCCCGCGCACCCTATCGTATGACACCAGCTGAGATGAGGGAGCTTCAGACCCAGTTGGACGAGTTGTTAGCTCAGGATTTATTTGTAGGAGTTTTTCTCCGTGGGGCGCATCGGTCCTCTTCGTGAAGAAAAAGGACGGTAATATGAGATTTTGCATTTATTATAGAGAGCCGGACAAGGTCACTATCCAGAATAGGTACTTATTACCTAGGATTGATGACTTGTTCGACTAGTTGCAGAGAGCGTAGTATTTCTCGAAGTTTGATCTTCGGTCTGGTTATCATAGTTGCGGGTTCGGAAGATGGATTTTTCCAAAGCCGTTTTTCCTAATTCGATGTGAATCTTTAGAGGTTCTAGTCAGACCATTCGGGTTGACTAATGCACACGTGGTATTCACGAATATGATGAACTGAGTTTTTCCCTCCCTTCATGGGCCCGTTTGATATTCTCATATTTTTGAGATCGGAGGCAGAACACGAGTACCATTGCAGACTCTTCAGGAGCACCAGTTATATGCCAAGTTCAACAAATACAGGTTTTGGTTTTTAGAAGTTAGATTTCTTGGCCACGTCAACAGCAAAGAGGGCATGACAGTGAATCCGGTTAAGTTTACAGCAATTCTTGTTTTGGAACCGCCGAAGATGGTGATAGAGATTTGAAGC